ATATATATATATATATATATATATACAATGTATATATATATATACATATATACATATATAATGTATATATATATATATATGTTTATACAGCATATCAAGCTATCTATTATATTTATGAGGGGCTGTCGTAGGGTGCATCAAAAGAAGAAGATTAATTTGCACTGCCCTTTAAGGAGGAGGCCCCCTAAACAAAGCCGTTGGTTAGGCCCTCAGAAAAAGAAGAGAAAGGGGCCCCCTGTCTGCATACTTTACGAGGGTTCAGAAGGGGGCCCCCAGGGTACAGAAGGGGGCCCCCAGCGCACAGTTGGGGGGCCCCAGGGTACAGTACGGGGCCCCATAATATAGGTGGGGCCCCCAGGGTACTGTAGGGGGCCCCTGTAGTTTAGAAGGGGGCCTCCAGGCCACAGAAGGGGGCCCCTTTAGTTTAGTTGGGGGCCCCTAGGGTACAAAAGGGGGCCCCTAACAGACAGACGGGCGACCCCCGGGTACAGCAGGGGCCCCGAGGGTACAGAAGGGGGCCCCTAGGGTACAGAAGGGGGCCCCTAGGATACAGAAGGGGGCCCCTAGGGTTTAGCTGGTTGCCCTAGCTGCCTCCTCCTCTGCAGCGAGGAGGGCTCGGCCCATCGTCTCCACTTCACGCCTTAGCAAATCCTCTCCCATCATCTGCGCGCAAACCCTAAACCCTAAACCCTAAACCCTAAACCCTAAACCCTCCTCAAACCCTAAACCGTAAGCCCTCTGTAATTCAAATCCTAAACCCTAAACCCTAAAAAGCCCCCGACAATTTAAATCCTGAACCCTCAACCCCAAACCCTCTCCATGTCAAATCCTAAACCCTAAACCCTAAACCCTAAACCCTAAAGCCTTACAATAGCGAGAGCAATGCAGTCTGCCTTAACTCCGTTTGCTTCATTCTTGAGGTGTTCTAAGCTCTCCTCCAAATTGTCTGTGCGCTGCATATCCTGTAAAATAATAAAACAAACAAATAAAATAAATAAACAAAATAAATAAAATAAAACAAATACAATAGGGTTAGTTTAGGGTTTAGGGTTTAGGGTTTAGGGTTTGTAGCCGCACCTCTTCCATAAGAAGGGTTACTAACTCCTCGAACTGGCGGTCTTCCGCTGCCTTCTTTGCTTTTGCTTCATCTACAACCACCTCCTGTGGGGTTGTCTCCTGTGGGGTCGTCTCCTGTGGGATCGTCTCCCTTGGGATCGTCTCCTCTGGGATCGTCTCCTCTGGGATCGTCTCCCCTGGGATCGTCTCCCCTGGGATCATCTCCTCTACGATCGTCTCCTCTGGGATCGTCTCCAGCTGCTGCTTGAGCAGCATGTCCTGCAGCTTCTGAAGCTCTACCAACCTGCAGACAGTAGCAGACAAAGAGAAGCATCGTAGCTAGCTAGCTGGCTAGCTAGAAGAGTAGCTAGCTAATCAGCTATCTAAGCAGCTAGCTACCCGGGTAAACAGCTAGCTAGTACACCATCTAATTAGCTAGCTAATCCGCTCCCTTGTGGGGTAGCTAGCCAGCTAGCTAGCTGGGCAGGTAGGCTCTCTGGGGAGCAGCACCGGCGGGCCCTTAATGCAGGCCTCAAAACCTAAACCCTAAACCCTAAACCCTAAACCCTAAACCCTAAGCCCTAAACCCTAAACCATAAACCCTAAACTCCCACCAGATAGAGAGGAGGCCAAACCACCGAAAGCGATCCTGCAGCTGCCCCGCAAGGTCTTCTAGCTGCTGCTTCAAGTCTTCAGACAGCGACAGCTCCTGCAGCAGCAGCAACAGCAGCAGCAACAGCAGCATCAGCAACAGCAGCAGCAACAGCAACAGCAGCAGCAGCAGAATACGGCAGCACCAACTCTTCGCCGAAGCAAGAGAAGTAGCAGCAACGTGTAGGAAAACCCACAGCAGCAGCCACAACAACAGTAACAGCAGCAGCAGCAACAGCAGCAACAGCAGCAGCACCAACAGCAGCAGCAGCAACAAAAGCAGCAACGGCGGCAACAGCAACAGCAGCAGTAGCAGCAGCAACAGCAGCAACAGCAACAGCAGCAACAGCAGCAACAGCTACAGCAGCAGCAACAGCAGCAGCAGCAACAGCAGCAGCAGCATTAGCAGCAGCAAGTGAGGGGTCCCGACCTTTATCATTTTGGCTGCGACATCCTTCGGCCTGAACTCCTCCCATCGTTCAGAGCCATCCCTACACACAAACCCTAAACCCTAAACCCTAAACCCTAAACCCTAAACCCTACGGCGCTGAGTCGCCGTCATTATATCTGAGATATTGCAGATCTGTTTACTCCTGCTGCTGCTGCTGCTGTTGCTACACTATTGTTGCTGTTGTTGTTCTTGCTGCTGCTGCTGCTGCTGCTGCTTCTACATTTAACTTTACGCTTCTACTCTTCGTCTTGCTGTTGTTGTGTTGCTTCTGTGGCTGCTACTTCTGCTGCGGCTGTTCTTTCTGCTGCTGCTCTCTCTGCTGCTGCTCGTTCTGCTGCTTCTCCCGCTGCTGCTGGCATATCTGGTGCTGCTGCTGCTGCTGTTGCTACTTCTGCTGCTGCTGTTCTTTCTGGTGTTAGTCTGTCTGCTGCTGCCCTTTCCGCTGCTGCTGCTGCTACTACTACTACTACTACTACTACTACTACTGCTGCTGCTGTTGCTGCTGCTGCTGCTGCTGCTGCTGCTGCTGCTGCTGCTGCTGCTTACTTTGTATAGAACACAAATGTCGGTGTGGCGCGCACCACTGGGCAGCCCTTAGGAAAATCATTTTTAGCTAAGTTTATTCTTTTAATAGAAATAGATACCTGAACAATAAACAATTAAATATTATTTTATTTATTTTATCAAGTACATCCTTAGGGTTTAGGATGAGGGCTTGGGGTTTAGAATGAGGATTTACAGTTAAGGGTGAGGGTCTAGGGTTTAAAATAAGGGTTTAGGGTTTGGAATGAGGGTTTAGGGTTTATGGTTTACTATGAGGGTTTAGGGTTTAGAGTTTAGGGTGAGGGTTTAGGGTTTGGAATGAGGATTTAGGGTTTTGGATGAGGGTTTAGGGTTTAAAGTTTAGGATGAGGGTTTAGGGTTTAGAGTTAAGGATGAGGGTTTAGGGTTTAGGGTTTAGGATGAGGGTTTAGGGTTTAGGGTTTAGGGTTTAGGGCTTACCTGATGTTTATTTAATAATTGAGAAATAGAATTAATGAAGGGGCGCAGCAAAAAACACAAAAAGCAGCCGTCTTCATGCAGCTGCAGCAGCACTCGCTGCCCTGCTGCTGCTGCTCCCAGCACCTGAAGCCATACAAACAGAGTTTTGCTGCTGCTGCTGCTGCTGCTGTTGCTCCTGCTGCTGCTAAGGGAATCAGCAGTGGGGATAAGACCAGAAGCAGCAGCACGAACAGAAGCAGCAAGCAGTGCCGGCAACAGCAGCAGCAGCAGCAGCAGCAGTGGCACCGCCAACAGCAGCAGCAGCAGCAGCAGCAACAGCAGCAGCAGCAGCAATTTATTTGGATTTACTTCCTCTTCGAATGTGTTGTACGTAACCACTGTGGGGAGACCCTTTGCTGCCAGCAATTTGTTTAGTTCTTCTATGTGATGCTGCTGCTGCTGCTCCTCCTGTTGCTGCTGCTGTTGCTGCTGCTGCGGCTGCTGCTCCTCACTTTGAGGCTGGAAGAACGCATGCAGCTCGGGCATAACATGGGTCTCCAGCAGCACGTCAAGAGTTGCCGCTTCGCTGTCGTTGCTGCTGCTGCTGCTACTGCTGCTGCTACTGCTGCTGCTACTGCTGCTGCTGCTGTTGCTGCTGCTCTCAAATACGTCTGGTTGCTGCGGGTCTAGAGACAGTCTCTTCTTCCTCTGACCCTTATAAAGCATCAACGCGGGGCCCCCAGTAAGCGGGGGCCCCTCTTCATTCTCCCCGTTCCTGCAGCAGCAGCAGCAGCAGCAGCAGCAGTAGCAACAGCAGCAGCAGCAGTTGCATCAGCAGCGCCCACCACCGCTAGGGGAAGCAAAACACATATTCATAAGCATCATCAGACGCAGCAGCAACAGCAGCAGCAACAGCAGCAAAAGCAACAGCAGCACCAACTCGAGCACCGCCAAAACAACTCAATCAACAGCAACAGCAGCAGCAGCAGCAGCAGCAGGAGGTAGCAAATGACCTGAATGCATAGAAGAGAGAGAGATCTGCAGGCAGCATTTGCTGCTGCACTGCAGCAGCAAGTCGGCCTTTAAGGTTATTGATGAGGGGCCCCTGGGGCTCTATCTCCTGTGAAGAGTTTAGAAAGAGAACAACAAAATTATCTGTACAATCAAAAAACTTATCTTGCATGCGCTGCCACCCAGACAAGGGGCCCTCCTCCTCTACCCCGCTGCTGCTGCTGCTGCTGCTGCTGTTGCTGCTGCTGCGCGCAGCAGATGAGGGAAGCCTGAGGGGACTGTCTCCTTTTAGTAGGGCCCAAGAGATACCCCCAACGCCGAGTGCGCCTGCTGTTAGCAGCAGGGGCCTCCATAAACCCTCAAACTTGCTGCTGCTGCTGTTCGTGCTGCTGCTGCTGCTGTTGTTGCTGTTGGGTGAAGGGGGATCCGCTGCAGCATTATTATCCTTGACCTGCTGCTGCTTTGCTGCTGCCCCCTCAGAAGTAGTTGAGAAGCAGCGGGAGGCAGTTGCTCGGAGATTGCTGCGTTGCAGCTGTTGCTGCTGCTGCTGCTTCAGCAGCAGCAACAGCTGCTGCTGCTGCTGCTGCAGAGGAAATCTGTGGGGTGCTGCTGCGGTCGCTGCTGCGGCGGCAGGCCTTCCTGCTGCTGCTGCTGCTGCTGCTGCTGCTGATCTACTGGAAAGCGCAGCAGCAGCAGCAAAGTACTTGCACACCATCTTGAAGCCCCTTCTTCCTTGGGGCCCTCAAGGTGACCCCCACTCACTGGTTTAGGGTTTAGGGTTTAGGGTTTAGAGTTTAGGGTTTAGGGTTAGAGGTTTACAGACAAGCGCTTGAACAGCAAAGTGCTTGTATTTCCCTTAAAGGGATTTGATTGCAACGGCTTGCTGCTGCTGCTGCTGCTGTTGCTGCTGCTGCTGCTAACGGGGGGGCCCCAATACTGAGGCCCCTTGAGCTGGGGGCCCCTAGAGGGTTTGTTTTCTTTTATTTTTTCTTCTTTAATAAATTAATTTATTTTATTTAAATTAAATATAATATTTAAATTTATTTTAATCTTAACTAACACCGGGGGCCCCTACATTCCCTCATATATACTCGAACTCACTGCAGCAAAGGGGGCCCCTAGGGGGCCCCGTAAGCACATTTCTGTGCTGTTCAGGTATTAATAGGGGCCCCCTAAGATAATATATAATGCTGAGGGGGCCCCCAAGGGGCCCTAAGAGAGAAGAATCCTCTTGAGATCCTATTAAAGGTGTTTATGTGCAACTGATAGCCCCCCCTGTGGGGCCCTTTGGGGTGCCCCTCCTATATGGGGGCCCCCACAGGGGCCCCCATATAGGAGGGGCACCCATAAGGTGTTGCTGTGCTGCTGCTGCTGTGCTGCTGCAGCTTGTGAGGGAGAGACACTATTAAAGGCCAGGGGGCCCCTGAGTTGCAGCAGCAACAAAATAAAAGAAGTGCTGCTATTTAAATATATTCTGTCTCTCCATATGTAAGGGGGTTAGGGGGGGTCTCTTGATGCTTCTGAGGCCCTTTAAAAGCAACTAACGCCCCCTCTAAACCCTAAACACTAAACCCTAAACCCTTGGATCCTGGAGAGCCATCACGGTCCCCTCTTTGCTTGAATCGCTAGGCTTTAGGGTTTAGGGTTTAGTGTTTAGGGTTTAGGGTTTAGGTATGCTTCAAGGTAAGGCGAGAGCCGTAGAGGCCCTCTGGAGCGCGACACTTGGGTCTTTACTGCTTTAAGAAAAGCAGAGAAGAAGAGGGAGACAGAGACTGTCTCTTCGCTGTCTTGCTGCTGCTGCTGCTGCTTTTGCTGCTCTTCTATTTGCTGCTGCTGGCCGTCCTGTAGTTGCTTCTGTTGCTGATCTTGCTGCTGCTGCTGGTCTTGCTGCTGCTGCTGCTCTAGTGCTGCAGCAAAAGCAGCATTAAACTCTTCTTCAGACAGCAAAGGCTCAGGTGTAGATACGAGGGCCCACAGCTGCTGCCGACTCAACCGGTGTCTATGGGGGGCCCCCTTGGGGGCCCCCTGGGGGCCCCCTGCGTCTAGCTGCTCTTGCTGCAGTGTCTCCCACCTGCTGGGGGGGTTAAGGATTCCCCACAGATGATCTTTTGTTTGATAGTTGGGTGGGTGTTGCTGCTGCTGCTGCTGCTGCTGCTGCTGCTGCTGCTTCTGCTGCTGCTGCTGCTGCTGCTGCTGTTCTTGTTGCGGCTCTGGCTGCAGCAAGCATTCTGCAACTGAGCAACTATCTTTTATTGTGGAGACCCCGAAGCAAATATCAGGATGAGTTTTAATATTATCTCTTGTTTTGCTGCTGCAGCAGACAGTAGATATATCTTCGTCATTGCTGCTGTCTGCAGGGGCCCCCCACCAATCCGGGGGGCCCCCTAACCTGTTGGGGGCCCCCTCATGTTCATTCAAGATCTGTTTAGCAGCAAACTGTGCAGCAACAGCAAGCTTCTCATCTCTTCTCTGCTGCTGCAGCTGCTGTATGGTGAGTGTAGGGGCCCCCTGGGGGCCCCCTGCTGTTGTACTGGGGGCCCCGTGATTATTATAAACTGTAGTAAAGATTAATTCTTTTGCTTGATGCTGTTGATTAGCTGTTTGTTTGACCCCATAGCAAATAGTGTTGCTGCATAGAGGGTTAAGAGATTTGGGGGCCCTCCCTAGGGGCCTCTTCTTATTACTTAAGTATATGCTCTCTTGTATTTGTTTTAAATATGTTTGTAAGAAAGTCTGATGCTCGCAGCAAAGAGGGGGCCCCTCAGAGGGGCCCCCCACACCCTGGTGTATACACAGCTGAGGAGGAGCAGCAGCACTTACAGAAGATGCGCAACGACGCTCTCTTGCATATGCTGCTGCTGCTTCGCTTAAGCTGCTTCTTTCTGCTGCTAAGCACTCTGATGCTCTACCCCCTGAGTTTGCTGCTCTATACCCTGCAGCGCGAAGGGGGCCCCCAACTAAACCCACCGATACACCAGCAGCAGCAGCAGCAGCAGCAGAAGCAGCAGAAGAAGAACCCATACTGATGCAGCACAGACACCTCAACGAGCTGCAAAAGCACCAGCAGCAGTAGCAGCAGCAGCAGCAGCAGCAGCAGCAGCAGCAGCAGAAAGAAGTTAAAAGAGAGGTAGGGAGGTCATTCAAATTCTATGAAAAGACCCAAGCAGAAACTTGAGGACGCCTCTGAAAGATATTAAAGTTCTATCTATCCTTGGTAAAGGGGTTTAGGGTTTAGGGTTTAGGGTTTAGGGTTTAGGGTTTAGGGTTTTCGGCGTTGTTTTCAGCAGGGAAAGGAGACGAATAAACAAATAAATAGGGCTCAATTAATAATAAAAGAATTTTATTTTTATTAATATAATTATATTTTTAGGGTTTAGAGACTTATTTTTTTTAAGTTTGTCTGCTGCAAGGCCCCCTTATCGACGCGGGGCCCCGGGTGACCGCCCTAAACCCTAAACCCTAAACCCTAAACCCTAAACCCTAAGTAAACTAATTTTATTTATTAAAAATAAAAATATAATTATACATTTATTTTATTTTATAATTAATAGGGGGTTTTAAGCTGCTGCAGCCCCTCAGGAAACTGAAGAAGACAAGGAGTGTTTATATGCAGCCTGTGACCCTAAACCCTAAACCCTAAACCCTAAACCCTGAATACTAAACCCTAAATCCTAAACCCTAAATCCTAAACCCTATACCCTATACCCTATACCCTAAACCCTAAAGCACGAAAAAAAGCGAGGCAAGTCTTAGAAAAATTTGCAGCCTATAAACCCTAAACCCTACACCCTAAACCCTAAACCCTAAACCCTAAATGCCTGATACAATTATAGGCTGTATCTGAGTGAAGCAACCGTGAGGTCAACGTACACCTCAAATTGATGCTTCTATTTGTTTTTTTTGCAGTCTATATATTATATATTATATAGACTTTATATATAACTCTAAATTATAGTCATAATATTATATTTATCAATAATTATATAATAAAATTAATTATATGCAGAGATATTTACCTCTAAATATATAGTGGGTGTACGAAGGAAGATGTTTATTTCTTTACTGTGCTCTCACCTCTTTAAATTTAACTCTATATACAAATAATTATATAATATATATATATATATGTAGAGGTGTATATATATATATATATAGACATATTAATATATATATATATATATATGTTTATATATATACAATATGAATACATATTAAACTACATATATATATGTGGGCGTATACGTACGTGTATGTACATGCATATACACATATGCTGATCCACTTGCTGCAGCAGCAGTTACAGCTGCAGCAGCAGCAGCAGCTACAGCTGCTGTAGCAGCAATAGCAGGATCCCTACCCTGTGGGGTGTCAGTGCCTGCATGCATTTATATTACAGCCCCATCGATTGCATAGACAGAGTGAGGGCAGACAACCTAAGAGACCCTTGCTTGTTTGCTCCTTTATAGAAGCAGCACCAGCAGCTTCTGCAGCAACAGCAGCAGCAGCAGCAACAACAACAACAGCAGCAGCAGCAGCAGCTGTAGCAGCATTCGCTAGCTGCGGTGCAACACCGGAAAGCAGACAAGGAACGAAAAGACAATAACAAGCCCCAGTCGGCTTCTATAGCGTAGACACCCCAGCTGTAGCCAGCCGTAGCTAGCAGTAGCTAGCCGTAGCTAGCTAGTAGCTAGCTATAGCTAACTAATAGCTACATGTAGCTAAGCTGTGATGAGATGTAGCTAGCTGAGGCTCGCTGCGGCGAGTTGGGGCGCAGCTGCTACAGCTTGGTGTAGCAAGCTGTAGCAAGCTGTAGCAATCTCTAGCAAGCTGTAGCTAGCTGTAGCTAGCTGCAGCTAGCTGTAGCTAGTTGTAGCAAGCTGTAGCTAGCTGCAGCTAGCTTTGAGCGACGGGCCAAAGGATTCGGCTGCAGCACATCCGCAGACAAAGGCCCCTCTTAGTAGTGTTTTGCTGCTCTCCAGGCAGCTAGCTACCCAGCTAGCTACCTAGCTAGCTACCCAGCTAGCTACCTAGCTAGGCTTTAGGTGAAAGTATAAGATCTGCATCACTCCCATAGGGTGGCCATGCTGCAGCTGCAGGTCTTCTACACCAACCCCCGCCTTTAAAGTACAATTGAAGAAGTTATTTATATTGTCTGGGGCTCTTAGTAAAGTTGTATTGTTTATCTGCATATATTAAGGTGCATGAACGATATTGAAGGGCTTAGGTGTACACAGAGCGCAAGATGATTTGTCGTGCAAGAGCTTGAGGGTTTGTTGTCTGGAGGTTTTATGGCTTAAATCGAAGTAATTAAGGCTGTAAATAGAATATAAAGAAAAATATATCTTTAAAAAATGTTTTTACGCCTTTATTCAGCTCTATTTATCTCCCCCGAAGCGCTGATAGAGCAGACTTTACCTCCTCTCGTGCAGTGCAGCCTTCCATGGGTTGCTGTTGTTGAAGAAATTGTACAGAAATCTTCGTAAATATAAAATATTCAATTAATATTAATAAATAAAATTACTTTATTATTGTTTCCTGTTCTTTTAGGATAATTTAATGCATTTTACCTCCATTGCAGAGAGCGTTTACTCTTCACAGTTGCGGTGTACAGGCAGCTGTGGGCTTCGAGTGTATCCGTGCATATCATCTTCTAGAGATGATTAGGAGCAAAGTAAGCGTACAAATATGTTTTTTTTGCTTTTTATTGTTTTTTAGTGTTTAATTACTCTTTATATTCTTCACTTACTCCCAAGAAAGCCGCTTGTAAGGTGTATATACCCTCTGCAAAATGCTGAGCTACGACTTCCTTCCTTCTCCTTCTTCTTCTTCTTCTTCTTCTTCTTCTTCTTCTTCTTCTGCTTCTTCTTCTTCTGCTTCTTTATCTTCTTCTCCTTCTTCTTTATCTCCTTCTCCTTCTCCTTCCCCATCACCATCATCATCATCTTTTTCTTCAACTTCTTCGCCATCATCGACATCAGCCTCTTCATCTTCTTTAACCTTTTCAACTTCTTTAGCTCCTTCTTCTTCTTTAACGCCTTCTTCTTCTTCTTCTTCTTTTCATTTATTAGCTCTTCATGGTATGCTTGGGGATCGCCGGGCTTTGCATGGTTTTTGTTCTTC